ACCAGCCTGTTATTCTCCAACGACTCGTAAAGTATAGTCATAATGGGACGAGCAAATTTCCCCGAAAATTTTCATTCAGACATTTTTATCAGGCCATTTTCGACCCTCCGGCATAATCGGTAAACGCAATTTCAGTACAACGTCGGATGTGCTGCTGGCGGATTAAATTTCTATGGGGCTGCTTCCCGGTAATGCTCTGCTGCACGTTTATATCTTTACCCCCCGTACACAACCAGCGTGCTACAGCCGTATATACAAGTGCACCGCGAATCGGCCCCTGGCGACCTCGTTCTACCAAATCACGGGGGGGTAAGGGTTGTTCCCAGTGGGTTGACCAGTTGGCTAAATTCAGCAAAGTACGGCTACCAGACAGATATACGTACAAAGACGTTGTGGGTGGAAACACCCAATTTAAGAAAATGACAGGCAATTAAAATATTGAAACGGTAGTAAGCACCGTCAGGGGGGGGGGGTGGCAATTATTTACGAAATAAGCATCAAGAAGCTATAACGATACTCATAAGGAAAATATAAACTGATAATAAAAGTGGCAACCGTTATATACAGCGAGAGGGCTGAAAACCCTATGCTTCATTTCAATACTACTCGCGAGCAGGCATTTCGCGATGCTTTGAAGTTGGATGATACTCGCTTTAGCTCCGATTATTAAAATGCACTTTTTTCTTCTTTCTCTCTCTTTTACTGCCTCTTACGTCCGTCCCTCTTTAGCAGCGCTCCGCCCCCCGTTTCTTTGGCTATTTACTCTATACACCAGCATCCTCCTACTTTTACATTGTAAAAGACACTTTCAATTTAACTTTGCGCATCAGAGCTCGAACCTTTTCAGCGGCGCGCTCGTGCGATCAAAGGAAACCTCCTCGTGCCGACGTTGATTAACGTTATGCACCTATAAGCAATATTATAGGTACCTATAACAATCCACCCCTAACGAACATAGCCTCTTGAACTTTCGGCATTCTTCACACATGCGACACTCGAGCATTGAATATGCATGTTTCTCAGATAAAAAATACTAAGAAATTGCTTACTCCTGAAGAGTCGTATACGAATAGGCATGCGGGAAGACAAAAAAAAATTCATCAGACATACGAAAACACGCGGTGAAAAGAACGGCACGAAATTTTTGGAATTTTCGAGTAAAAGGGATGAGGAGTCCAAGTGAAACGACGAATTCACCCTCCTGCACTCGAAACCCTCCGGAGAATAGATATGTGGGGAGCGTACGTAAAAGTCGTATAGTCTGCGTGAGATCGCATGTGAGCGTATGTGTGCGAGGTGGTCCAGGGGTGGTTCGGATGCTGAAATCGTATTACTAGTGCATTGTGGGAGCTGAATAGCCCGCATTAGAGCCAACGAGGTTGTAGGTACCATCGTCCTGTCCCTTTCCCTCTGCTATACCTACGTCCTCCACCTAATACTCCCTCATTCCCGTCCTGTTACGTCCTTTAGTTGGGTTCGCGCTCTGCAAGTCCATTCTCATTCCATTTATTGCTCGCAGGCTCATTCGTCAAACGGTTGACAATCCCCAGAGTGTCCTGGCACTGTTTGCACGCGATGAAAGCGGGGACGTGATGGATTTTTAAGGAAACTAGTGAAAACGTTAATAACCCATATTTGAAAACTTGTGCCTTAGGCCATTCGATGCTGCATCGTTATTGCGGAAATAATGATTTTACATTCGACGCGAATATTTATATAGGACTTGAAGTACGCTAACTTGATACTCGATACACGGTTCACGAACTTCGAGTATTCCCAATGGCCGGTACAGTAGGTACACCCGGATACTTGTTTTGTTAAGAGATAAAGCGAATGCAACGTGAATACCGGCAGTAGTGTGTACTAGATGGAATTCGCTAGTTCAAGAAATACTTGGCTCGTCTTGGCAAACAGTACGAAATCCCAATAGACGTTATGGCGATTCCCATAGCTGAAAAGTTACCTCTTGTATCCTATGCCTGCTCGTGTTTGTAACCATCAAAGATGAGACAACGGGTGGGATCGGTATCGATGTCCCCAGTTCGTTTTCTCAAGAGAGGACGGTTTGTTTCTTCCATGCGAGAAGATTCGATGCTGTATCGACTGCTGCGCCACGAAGCGGTGACTCGGTGTACTATAGCGTATACCTATGAGTACGGCAGAGAGTTTTATCCGCTTATACGTTAGTCGCAGAGGGTCCTATGCAAAGTAGCCACATCAATATTTCGAGTCTATCTCAACGGAGCTTGGGGAAATTAGATTTACTCGAAAATGCTATGGGTAGCAGCTAGGTAATACAGGGTGTCCCAGAATAAAAAGATGTGAAGTATACCGTCAAGTGAAGAGGAAAATCTGAAAGAAAAAGTCCTGATCCATTTCTTTTACCGAGTTTTCCGCCTAAAGTTATGAACAATTAAAGCTAGCCAATCAACGGCTTTACCCGCTGGGCATCCTTTATCCCCCACTTACCGCGTTCTTGGATGCTCAGCTGGTATGCGCGCGTGTTCATTGGCCAGCTTCAATTGCTTATAACTCTAAGAGGAAAGCTTGGTAAAAAAATGGACCACGACTTTTTCGTTCAGATTTTCCTCTTATACTTGACGGTGTACTATATCTTTTTATTCTTGGACACCCTGTATATTCGCCAGAGAAATTTATCTATGTCAGTCGCTCGTGTTGGACGTTCGGACGCGGATTTCTTTGACGGGATGAAAACAAAATATATCCTCGTCCGTGACTCACGGACACGATACCACTGGAGCAAGATAAATTTTGAAAAAAAAAAAAAAAAAAAAAAAAAAAAAAAAAAAAAAAAAAAAAAAAAAAAAAA